CAATCTAGACACCTCAGTTCCCTTGCAGTCTTGTGGGAGTTATGCCTTGGAAAGTAGTGGAGTCTCCTTCTTTGGAGATTTTTTAAACAGAGGCTGGATGGCCATCGGTCACATGGAGGGCTTTGAATGTCTCTTCCTGCATGGAAGAATGGGGCTGGATTGGATGACTCTTGGGGGGCTCTTTTGGGCCTATGATTCTATGAGCTTTGTTTTTGCTGGAAATGTCCAGCAACTTCTATAGGGGAGCTGACCAAGTGGCAATGGTGCAGGATTCCCTCCAGAGACTGCTCCCCATTCCTGCATCTCTCCCAGGCCCCAAATGGAAGCTATAGTGTCTATCTGATACAGAGCTTGGGATTTCTAGGGTCTGCAATCCCCAAAGAGAACTTTCTCAAGCTGTGGTCCCCGGCGGAGCAAGTTGAGCTAAGTTTGGCTGTTGTCAGGGTGAACTTTGCCATGCGCCTCCCAGGAAACGTTCAGGGTCGATGCTGGGTTGCCATTCTTTATGCATCCGCACCCTAATGCAGCCTGACATGGTAGCTGCATTTGGTAGCTCACACATAAGTGATCTGAACTGCATGCTATTTTCGTTGACGATAATCTGCTCCGTGTTTGGATGCAGTTCATGGCTCGGTCAGCCTTGCCTGATACTATATTCCCGTTTGTTCCACTAAAGGTTTCTCTGCCAGTTCGGATCAGCCTCCCCGTGCTTTATGAACCGTGAATGCACTGCGGTTGGGGATTGGCCTACCTGAGCTGGACCGGGCTGAAGATGGGAACAAACAACAGAAGGGAGGATGGAGAAGAAAGGGGTCAAGCGAAGGAGGGCCCGGGGGGCTCCAAGGGACCAATTCTGCCCCCCTCCAGCAGAGAGGAGATATTCAGGGGCTCAAGGGAAGAAGAAGCCAGATTTCCTTGAACATATCCAATCTGTCTCCTATTGGAAGCTAAGCAGGATGGGACCTGTGACCAAAATGGTAAACCATAAATCCCTGTGAGGAGAGACTTAGGGAGCTGGGTATGTTTAGCCTGGAGAAGAAAAGGCTGAGAGGTGAGATGATAGACCTGTTTAAATGTTTGAAGGGGGGTCATATTGAGGATGGAGCAAGTTTGTTCTCGGCTGTTCCAGAGAATAGGACACAGAACAATGGATTCAAAGTATAAAAAAGAGATTCCATCTCAACTTAGGAGGAACTTCCATCAGACCATCAGAGCTGTTTAACAGTGGAACACACACAATTGGAAAGTGGTGGAGTGTTCCTTCTTTGGCCATCTGCATGGGAAGAGGTTGGACTGGATGGCCCTTGGGGTCCCCTCCAAATCTAAGATTCTATGATTCTAAGATGGAAAATTAGGGGTCTCTCAGCAGAGATGAGAATCCTACTGAAACCCTGCAAGAGCCACTATGGCTTCCAGTTAGAAATCTTAACACTGGGTTCAATGAACCCACAGTCTGATTCAGTATAAGACACTTTCCTGTGTTTCCTTGCCCAGATTCCTTGCCCAGACCTCCTCAGATGGAGCAGACCCACTGAAGCCATGGCATCTACCTGTGTGTTGACTCACCATTCCACAGTGAAGTCAATTGGTGCACTGTAGTTGGGACTAAAGAACAGGATTCTGGGCAAGAAGACATAGGAAGGTGCCTTATACTGTGAGTCAGATTGTGGTTTCATCAGACTGTGCACAAGGGGACAAGGAGCAGCGGCACATGAGTGAGTACAGCGTTGGTTGTGCAATGCTGGTATTGATTAATTGATTGATGACTGATGGGTCATCTCCCCATCCTTCATTCCATTCTTTTGTGGGGATTGTTTGTAGTGATTTCATAGAATCATAGAGTTGGAAGAGACCTCAAGGGCTTTCAAGTCTAACCCTCTGCCATGCACTTCTGAAGCGGCATCTGAACTACAAAATTAATGCAATTTGACAACAATTTAACTGCCACAGCCCAATGCTATGGAATGCTTGGGTTTGTAGTTTGTTGTGACAGATAGATTTGTAGTTTGTCTGACAGAGAAGGCTAAATATCTCAGCAAACTACAAATCCCAGGATTCCACAGCATGGAGCCATGGCAGCTAAAGCGGTGTCAAACAATTGTTGTTGTTGTTATTCTGCATTATTTCTGCATTGCAGATTAGACTTCAGTCAGCTTTGCCCTGGCGAATCAAACCACCAAAGTTGCACCATCTTGGCTCCTTTCTGGACCCTCCGGGACCTTGGCTGCTAATGCAGTTCCAAGCCCCAAGCCATTGGCCTTCCTTTCTCCTGTCCTCACACCTTTTAGGATGGAGGGGACTCCCTCGATCCCAGTGCCATTAGTAAGAGGCCTGCGTCCTGTAGGTGTGAATTTCGGACAATTGGCGCACGGCTCAAGAGGCAGTGCGCAGCTTTCATTTCGGAGGTGGACACGGTCACTCATCCCATTACACTTCTAAGTTGGGCCGATGGGAATTTCCAGCAATGACATCTTCCAGGATTTGGTGGCACAGGAAACACCATTAGGAGACCGTGACAGAGTCCGATCCCGCTTCGAAGCGACGGGTGAGATCTGAAGCTGCAAGACTTTTACCTTTTACGACCAAGGAACGTCCTAGAAAGAAAAGGAACAGAGTTGAACATTCATCTGGGTAACATATCCAGGGGTAGCCATGTTGGCCATATAGGAAAGCGCAATATCATCCAAAAACCATAATAAAAATAATAATAAAATTTATTTATACCCCGCCCAATGGATACCCAATCAGGGCGGCTTACAGATTTAAAATCACAATTCACATAAAACATAATACAGAAAAACCCACCCACCCCCCCCTTAAAAAATTATTAAATCAAGCAAATATTAAAATCAACGTAATTTAAAATTTAGAATCCACACAGAATAGGTAAGCTTAACTGGATGATCCCTTCCATCTAACGATGGGGCCACGAAGGAGCATCATTTAGCGCGACTACCTATATCCGGGGTGGGGTTTACCAAAAACCATTGATATCTTTATTGGAACAACCAAAATGCACACTATACATGTTGCAATCTTTTGAAACTCCACTTGGCAGACAAAATGCACATTTATACACATTGCAAGCTTTTGAAAAGTTAAAAGTCTTGAGGCGTGGCATAGTGGTTTGAGCGTTCGACTATGACTCTGGAGAGCAGGGTTCGAATCCCCGCTTGGCCATGAAACCTGCTGGGTGACCCTGGGCAAGTCATACTCACTCAGCCTTAGAGGATGGTCATGGCAAATCCCCTCTGAAGAAATCTGCCCATAAAACCCCATAGGGTCACCATAAGTCGGAAACAACGTGAAGGCACACAACAACAAGCACTCCAACTGCCCCGATCTGGCAAGGACAAAAGGAACTTTACACAAGGATTTGGTGGCTTTACTGTCTTTGTCTTCATGAGAAAACACTGTAAACCAGGGGCGAGCAGGAGTATAGGGTGGCATCGCTCCATGGATGCTGAGGGACTAATCGGCTTGGCAGCTTGGGCACCTTGCTGCCTACTTTGCAAGCCGGGGCTGGCAAAACATTCAGATAATTTGTCGGAGACACGGAGACTGAACCTGACAAGGGAAAGGGTGATAATATGGGTGTTAATGAAAAGGAGATAAAAGCCAAAGGGAGGGCAGGGTGGTTGCAAATGAGAGAGTGTGCCTGAGGTGGTGTGCAGCCTGGCACTGGGAGGGAAAGCGTCAGGGGTCCAGAAGGTGTCACATCTGTGGGCACAGCTGGACAGCGCGAGGGAGGAGTGCCATGACTGCCCTGCTCAGCCCTCCAGAGAAACCCAACCAATGCACAAAACGTACAACCCTATTCTCCTGCTCGCCCTGGTTTACAGTGTTTTCTCATGCAGACAAAGGGAGCAAAGCAGAGGAACAGGGCTTGACTGGTGTGGATGAGGAAAACCAGCTCCCTGAACAAGGAGCTCAGTTGCATGTGACGTGGCTTGCTTGTTTGAGTCATCTCTGCATCGCCTCCAACCTGTCACAGATGAAAATCGGGACGTGTGTGGCCAAGATGGGAAAAATTATTAACAAGAAAGGGTAGACAAGCTAAGAAAAGCTGCAGCAGTTTGCTTTTGCCTGAGCTTACTGGGAAAGACAAGTTTCCAGCCCTTCCTCCCCTCTCCTCCTTTCTGAGTTAACTGTGTGCAATCTACTTTTGCACTTTAAAGTCAATTTGCACAATTGAAAGTAAGCTGAGGACAAAGAGACAAAGTGGGAGGAGAAGAGAGAAACTGGGACATTTTAAAAGCTGCTAAAAATGTGGGACAGCAGAGGAATAATTAGGATTGTCCCTGCCAATTCGAGAAAGTTTGTGGTTATGAGACTCTGCAGACTTATTTGCCTCTCTCAGGATTCTGGGCCTTGTGGTTCAAGAAACTATAGGAATTTGGATATAGGTCGATTGCTGAGCTTACTGGGAAAGGTAATATTCCATCCCTTTCTCTCCTCTCTGCCCTCCTGAGTTCATTGAGTGAAGACTACTTTTACACTTTGAACTCAGTTGGCTGCAATTGAAGTAAACCAAGGACAAAAGGGGGAAGGTGGGAGAAAGAGAGGGAAACTGGGGCATTTTAAAAAGCAGCTGAAACGTGGGACAGCAGAGGATTAAAGAGAAATGTCCCTGATAAATTGGGAAAGTTGGTGGGTATGAGATTCACCAGACTTATTTGTCTCTGGGGATTCTGGTCATTGTGGTTCAAAAAAGTAACTTCTCCAAGCTCTGGATGTGGCTATAGGTTGATTGCTGTTCTTCTAAACTGCTGAGGTTGAGCAATGGAGGAAGATGCAGTGAAATAATTTGGAACGTAACGATCCAAAGTGTGAAGGGAATCATTTCCCTTCAAAGAACAGCGCTCACTTTTCCTAACCTAAAACAACAACAAGAAGACAGAGATGTTCTTTTCGGCCTCTCTGGAGTGTAGCTTTTGTGCCGCTCAATGACCTAAATGGATTCCCAAGTGTGGTTCTTAGGATCATTCAGGGTATTAATAATGCATCGCGCTCCGGCTGCAAGAGCACTTAGCAAGAATTGCCCTCCCTCTCTGCAAACACATACACACAAACACAGATGCACACACAAACATGCCTCTTCCTTAAGAGGAGGAAGAGCAGACAAATGCTTGCATAATTCAAATTTGCACACATGTAAATTTATGGGGTGGTTGTTGCACCATCCTATCCTTGAACACACCAACATTGTACAATTAATGGTGCACCTGAAATCTCACTAAGCAAATCCC